CTTCCTTCCTTCCTTCCTTCCTTCCTTCCTTCCTTCCTTCTCTCTCTCTCTCTCTCTCTTTCTTTCTTTCTTTCTTTCTTTCTTTCTTTCTTTCTTTTTTTCTCAAGCTACTAGGGCAAGATTTGAAGTCCAGTCTACCATGTGGGATCTGGCTCCCTTCACCCAGCACTTAACCAGTGTACTATGGGGTTTCCCTCCATCCACCAAATTTTTTGCCATGAACTTTTTGGAGTCCCTCCTCTGTGTATGTTTATAATAGAATATGTATATATATAGTCAGTGTCAAGTATCCATACTTTTCTATGATTAAAACAATAGTTTTTTATGTATTTTGCATGTCATACATGAATACCAAGAAGAGTTGTTATTTTTCTATATTTATTATATGTTCTTTAGTTATAAATGTAGACTTTTAAAAATAAAAATATTATATATAAAGTTTAATAGATTGTGCAGGTAATTAAGTTTTCATATTCTTCTTCCTATTTGGTTTTTGGTCCTCCCTTCCCCTAAATATCAACTATTGGGCTGTTGGAAAAGTCATGACATATTTTTCTATGCAGAAACGTATCATGAATTTTTTGATGACCCAATATAATTAAATTATCCCAAAGGAAGAGAACATCATTTTACTCCTAAAGAAATGATTACTGTTAAAAACCAAAATTGAGGGGAGCTAGCAGGTGGCATGGTGGTTAAGCACGTGGGACTCCCACATGACTAACCGTGGTTCAAGTCCTGGACCTGGTGGCTTACTTGCTTGCTCACCCCGCCACTCTGTCCTTCTCTGACCAAATTGAAAATAAATAAAGTTAAATAAAATAATTATTTTTTTAAAAATGTAATTGAGGGCCAGCAGTGATGCAGTGGTTAAGGCAACTGGCTCCCACTTGACTGATCGCCTGCTTTGAATCTTGGACCCAGTAGCTTGAGAAATACACTAGGTGCATGTGTATGTGTGTGTATCCAAAATCCCAAGAGGAAAATAGAAGATGAGAAAGGATTATGGTGTGGCCATCGTCCCTGGGGGTGCTTTCTCATGTTCCTTCTCTCTTTCTGTCTCTCTCTTCTTAAAAAATTTGCTGTAGGGTATGTGTGCTTATTGGAAAGAAACAGAGAAGCAAAGAAAGAGAGAGAGAAAGTGAGAAAACACCCCCCCCCAGGGGGGATGGCGACACCACAATCCATTCTGCAGTCTCTTCCCGAGATTTTGGGAAGACAAGAACATGCTCCTGGTGTATTTTCCAAGGCTCCAGGTCAGGAATCGGTCCATGCAGTTGGCTATGGGAGATTCAGCTTCCTTAACCACCATGCCACCTGGCTGGCCCTCATTTTCACTCACTCTCCTCTGTGTCTCTCCAGCAAGTGTGTGCACCCTATAGGAAATTTTAAAAATCATCATCATAATTGGTTTATTGCAGCCATAGATTTTAATGAACCTGTGTGTTTATATAACTGCACTAATTTACCTCTGTACCCTTTTTTGTCATTTCAACAGTAAATACTTCTTTCTTAAGTTTATTTTTATTTATTTCTTACATGAGAAAAAGAGAAACGTCTTATCCCTGACAGGGTCTTGCCATGCCACAATCCTCTTCAGCCCCAGCCACCAGGATTGTATGTTCAGATAGACTGGGTGCAGGGGTGCCCTCCTGCCTGCACCACTGCACTGGGCCAGTAGGAAATATTTGTTCCTGGTCTACTCTTAGCTCCAAAACATATACACTGTAGTTGGTATCCTGGAAGGACACTGGGGTGGCAGCCAATTCATTTGAGGACTGACCTTAGCCTTGACGAGGGAAATTTTTGACTAAATAAATAAACAAACTCAAGATTGTTCTTGTTCTGCCCTCTTAAAAAACAAAACATAAGTCTGTGAATTTACGAGGCCATGGTTCAGCTCTCTCTTCAAGGTCCCACACAGTTTCTTTCCGCTTCTGACAGCATCAGGGATTTTTCTCCCCGTGATTAAAGGGGCAGAACCAGAGTATAGGAATACAGGCAACATGCTGTTTTGACAATGCTGGTTTGGGGGCCAGGAAGTAGGGTGGTGGTTAAGGTGCAGGATTCCCACATGGCCGATCGTGGTTTGAGTCCCGGTCCGTGTGGCTTGAAACTAATGCTGGGCACGTGTGTGTGTACATGCCCCAAATCCCAGGATAAGAATGGACAAGAACGGATTGCAGTAAGGCCATTTCCTCAGGGGATGATTTCTCACTTTCCCTCTGTCTTTCTCCAGCATGAACCCTATGACAAAAACCTAGGGGAAAAAAAATGAAAATGCTGTTTCTGAGAGCCTGTTGACTTCGTCACCATGTGGCTGACCAAGTTAATATCCTCAAGAGGTCTAACTTCTCTTCTGTAGCAAAGCTTAAATTTGTCTTTCTTTTCCTTTCTTTTCTTTCTTTCTTTCTTTTTTCTTTTTTTTTCTTTTTTTTATTTTTTATTTTTTGTTTGTTTAATTGCTAGAGGACACGCATGGTTGCTGGAGAAAGAGAGAAAACACATCTTCAATGCGTAGTGGTAAAACCAAAATCCTTTCTCCTTCATTTCTCTATCCCACTCGCACCTACATCCAGCATGTTTCTCAAGCCTCTGGGCAAGGATTCAAACTGCAGTTGACCATGTTGGACCCAGCTCTGTATGCACAATGTCTAGCTGCATTAATTTGGGCTGGCCCAAGTTTGTCATTCTATTAAGATGTTTAACTTGTAAACATACATTATTCGAGGCAGCATATATATATTTTTTTTTGGAGAGGTTTTTGCAACACGGCGTGCGCTCACCAGAAGACAGAGAGAGATAGAGAGACAGAAAGGGAGAAATCACCCTCCAGGGAGGATGGCCATGCCACAATCCCTTCTCCTCCATTTTTCTCTCGGGATCTTGGGCACGCATGCACATGCGCCCATCATGAGTTTAAGCCACCAGGTCCGGGACTTGAACTTCTGTCGACTACTTGGGAGTCCAGCGACATAGCCATTACGCCAACTGCTGGTTCCTATTTTTTCTTTCTTTTCTTTCTTTTATTTTTTTATTTTTGCTATAGGGTGAGTATGCTCACCATAAGAGGAAGGGTAGGAGACAGTGAGAAATCACCCCCAAGAGGATAGCCATGCTGTAATCCCTTCCCCTTCTCATCCAGTCTCCTCAGGAATTTTGGCATGCACCCATATGTACCCAGTGTGATTTTCAAGCCCCTGGTTCCAGGACTTTAAGTAGGTGGCCATGTGGGATCCAGTGCCTTTAACCTCTGCGCCACCTGCTGCTCCTTAAATAACTTTCAGAAAATGTTTTCTAATGAAAAACCAGGCCCCGAACTGGATGACTTTTCCAGGCATCTCATGATAGATGGTTTAGGAAGATATTTATAAGCTTATCTATTCTAGAGGAATCACTATCAGGCACCCTGGAAGGTTCCATTGAATGTCTAGGAGATATTTAATTAATGCTTTCAACCTTGGGTTTGAGTTTCCAGATAAAGCAAGTTTTGTTGTTGTTGTTATTTTGTTTGTTTTTTTTTTACATACTTCTCTGGAGATGAGTGGTAACAAACGAATTCATCCTGGTTTCAGTCTCTCCTGCAAGAAAGGAAAGTTCATTTTGAACAATATTTTGAAAAAAAAAATACTGAAATCTGAATAGTTGTTGTTGTTGTTTGTTTCTTTTTTTGTTTTTTTGGTAAATTGTTTTTCTATCTCCCCAAGGCTCATGACTGAGACTAGATGTGGGGCCGTGAGAAATACACCTGTGAGTGAACTCATGTCCTTTCATCACAGCAGGTTTTGCAAGGAAGATCCAGACTTGAAGTAGAAGTCTTCCTTGTGCCTGGAGTAGAAGACCTCTTTGATTCAAGATCAAAAATATAGTCCCATCAGCAGTTTAGGGTCTTTATTACCCCTACGCGGCCAAGCAGCTAGCTGACACGGAACACATGTGCCCTGGGATTGTTATGTCTCCGTCTGTGTTGTTTCAGGCAAGAGTTTGGCTCAGATCAGGGTCCAGATCTGACAAGGGAAGTATACCTCCAGGACATCCACTGCGTGGGCTCACTCTGCAAGCTCTACTTCAGGGAGCTGCCCAACCCCCTCCTGACGTATGAGCTCTATGAGAAATTCACGGTAAGTGTTTGCATTTCTATTCTGGTTACTGGGTGGGATGCGTGGATGGGCCAAGGAGAGTTTCAGCACTAAAATAACAATAAGAATACTCAGCAGATGGTTGGCATTATCTCAGCATGGTGATGGAAGCAGGGTGGTGTGGTGAGAGTAGGGGAAGGGGAACTCTTGGCTAAATTTTTCGTTCTTGCATTTTCAGAATCATGTTGTTTGTTTTAAGAGCTGGGTTAAATTATCTCCAGGTTTATTCAACTGAATGTGCCTCATTGTATAGGGAGGAAACCGGGAGAAGTAAAGTGGCCGGCTTAAGGTCGCACAGCCCAGGCGGGACAGGAACCTGAGACCCCTGATGCTGCTGCACCCACTGCTACTTTGTTTTTATCAGGCGGTTTCTTCTGTGTTTCTCTGGGGGGCAGAAGGAGACGTCGGTTGGTAGAGAAGGGAAAAGGGACAAACAAAAGGGAAGAAAGAGGTTAGAAAGCTGGGAAGAGAAAGGAATCTGAGAAAATGAACCAAGAGGGAGTGCAGGAGAGGCCAGTGAGTTGGGGTGGTGGGAAGGATGGATGGGCAAGAGCAGAACACCTCAATAGCAGCTGCGTGGTCACCAAATAGGGCACCCCCAGAAAACAGAAAGGAGAGTAAGTGCTTGTAGAATGTCTAGCTGCATTAATTTGGGCTGGCCCAAGTTTGTCATTCTATTAAGATGTTTAACTTGTAAACATACATTATTCGAGGCAGCATATATATATTTTTTTTTGGAGAGGTTTTTGCAACACGGCGTGCGCTCACCAGAAGACAGAGAGAGATAGAGAGACAGAAAGGGAGAAATCACCCTCCAGGGAGGATGGCCATGCCACAATCCCTTCTCCTCCATTTTTCTCTCGGGATCTTGGGCACGCATGCACATGCGCCCATCATGAGTTTAAGCCACCAGGTCCGGGACTTGAACTTCTGTCGACTACTTGGGAGTCCAGCGACATAGCCATTACGCCAACTGCTGGTTCCTATTTTTTCTTTCTTTTCTTTCTTTTATTTTTTTATTTTTGCTATAGGGTGAGTATGCTCACCATAAGAGGAAGGGTAGGAGACAGTGAGAAATCACCCCCAAGAGGATAGCCATGCTGTAATCCCTTCCCCTTCTCATCCAGTCTCCTCAGGAATTTTGGCATGCACCCATATGTACCCAGTGTGATTTTCAAGCCCCTGGTTCCAGGACTTTAAGTAGGTGGCCATGTGGGATCCAGTGCCTTTAACCTCTGCGCCACCTGCTGCTCCTTAAATAACTTTCAGAAAATGTTTTCTAATGAAAAACCAGGCCCCGAACTGGATGACTTTTCCAGGCATCTCATGATAGATGGTTTAGGAAGATATTTATAAGCTTATCTATTCTAGAGGAATCACTATCAGGCACCCTGGAAGGTTCCATTGAATGTCTAGGAGATATTTAATTAATGCTTTCAACCTTGGGTTTGAGTTTCCAGATAAAGCAAGTTTTGTTGTTGTTGTTATTTTGTTTGTTTTTTTTTTTACATACTTCTCTGGAGATGAGTGGTAACAAACGAATTCATCCTGGTTTCAGTCTCTCCTGCAAGAAAGGAAAGTTCATTTTGAACAATATTTTGAAAAAAAAAATACTGAAATCTGAATAGTTGTTGTTGTTGTTTGTTTCTTTTTTTGTTTTTTTGGTAAATTGTTTTTCTATCTCCCCAAGGCTCATGACTGAGACTAGATGTGGGGCCGTGAGAAATACACCTGTGAGTGAACTCATGTCCTTTCATCACAGCAGGTTTTGCAAGGAAGATCCAGACTTGAAGTAGAAGTCTTCCTTGTGCCTGGAGTAGAAGACCTCTTTGATTCAAGATCAAAAATATAGTCCCATCAGCAGTTTAGGGTCTTTATTACCCCTACGCGGCCAAGCAGCTAGCTGACACGGAACACATGTGCCCTGGGATTGTTATGTCTCCGTCTGTGTTGTTTCAGGCAAGAGTTTGGCTCAGATCAGGGTCCAGATCTGACAAGGGAAGTATACCTCCAGGACATCCACTGCGTGGGCTCACTCTGCAAGCTCTACTTCAGGGAGCTGCCCAACCCCCTCCTGACGTATGAGCTCTATGAGAAATTCACGGTAAGTGTTTGCATTTCTATTCTGGTTACTGGGTGGGATGCGTGGATGGGCCAAGGAGAGTTTCAGCACTAAAATAACAATAAGAATACTCAGCAGATGGTTGGCATTATCTCAGCATGGTGATGGAAGCAGGGTGGTGTGGTGAGAGTAGGGGAAGGGGAACTCTTGGCTAAATTTTTCGTTCTTGCATTTTCAGAATCATGTTGTTTGTTTTAAGAGCTGGGTTAAATTATCTCCAGGTTTATTCAACTGAATGTGCCTCATTGTATAGGGAGGAAACCGGGAGAAGTAAAGTGGCCGGCTTAAGGTCGCACAGCCCAGGCGGGACAGGAACCTGAGACCCCTGATGCTGCTGCACCCACTGCTACTTTGTTTTTATCAGGCGGTTTCTTCTGTGTTTCTCTGGGGGGCAGAAGGAGACGTCGGTTGGTAGAGAAGGGAAAAGGGACAAACAAAAGGGAAGAAAGAGGTTAGAAAGCTGGGAAGAGAAAGGAATCTGAGAAAATGAACCAAGAGGGAGTGCAGGAGAGGCCAGTGAGTTGGGGTGGTGGGAAGGATGGATGGGCAAGAGCAGAACACCTCAATAGCAGCTGCGTGGTCACCAAATAGGGCACCCCCAGAAAACAGAAAGGAGAGTAAGTGCTTGTAGGACGCCCTGCAGCAGCAGCAGCAGCATCAAACGCAGAACTTGAATTTCTGGCTGCATGGGGTAGGTGTAGGGTAGGCAGAGAGTTGGGTGCAACCAAGGTTGAAGTTCACCTAGTAAAAGAAGGATGAGGGAGATGAGAGTATTTGTCTGAGGCTGACTAAGTGACCATGCAATTTAGTCTGGATGAGAAAGGGAACACGGGCAAGGCTGATGAGGAACAGGGTAAAAGAAGATCAAGAGACTATTCATCCCAGTCAGATCGATGGAGTGTAGGGTGGTTGGGAGGAGGACATTTGAAATGGAGATTATGGAGAGGTTGTAATTTTCAGTCAGGGTCAAGTTGAGGTTCTAACAATAATCTTTCTCATGGCTCCTGTAATAAACTTACCTTGAGCATGTATGAGGTTCTTCAGTGTGAAATGATGTAAGAACGAATGCACGCTACCTTTTCTGTCTTTTGTTAGTTAGTTTGTTTTACTAGAGGGCACATGTGCTCACTATAGAGGGAGGCAGAGAGACAGAGAGAGAGGGAGAAAGGAAAGTACCCCCCATGGGGAATCGCCATGCTGCAATCCCTTCTCTTCCATCTCGCCCTCCGTTGGGGATTTTGGGCACACGTGTGTACGCATCTGGCATGTTTCTCAAGCTGCCAAGTTCAGGACTCAGATCACACGGTCAGCCATGTGGGATCCAGCTGCCTTGACCACCACGCCATGGAGCCTGTCCATGAAGACTACCATTTCAAAACTGGACTTGGACCATTAAAAATATTCTTAAAATTTTCAGTGATGCAGGAAACACTCAGTGATAACTGGAAAACCACAAATATACAATTATATATTCAGACAGAAAAACCAGGAAATTCCAAAATTTGAAACACATCTGGTCCCAAGCATTTTGGATAATGGATACTCAAACTTATTAATTTTCTTATTTTAAAAAAAATGACCCAAAGCACACAAAAAACTTGGGCATAAATATTGACCACTAGAGGGACCAGCAATTAGCATAATGGCTACGTCGTGGACTCCCATGTAGTCGACTGCGGTTCGCGTCCCAGAACTGGTGGCTTAAAACCCACGCCGGGCGCATGTGCGTGCATGCCCAAGATCCTGAGAGGAAAATGGAGGAGAAGGGGTTGCAGCGTGGCCATGCCCCCTGGGGGGTGATTTCTCGCTTTCTGTCTCTCTGTCTTTCTCATCTGTCTGGCGAGTGCACACGCCCTATAGCAAAAACCTCTCAAAAAAAAAAATATATATATATATTGACCACTAGAGAAGTCAACGTCTACCCACTGATATAGGTGGTCTGTGGGTCTTGAGATCCAAGGTGGAACGTAGGCAAGCCTCCAGTTGGAATGTCTGAGTCTTAATAATGGCCATTTCTGCCCACGGAACCACTGAGAAATCTTTTCCAGGAACCAAGAGGAAACGTTGCGAGCTTTATAACTGTGCCAGATTATAATCACTGTGACCATATGTATTTCCTCATTTAAAAAGTAATTGTACTTGGGTCAGCAGGTGGTGTGCTGGTTGAGGCACTGGACTCCTACATGGCAGACCATGGTTCAAGTCCTGGACCTGGTAGCTTGAAAATCATGCCAGGCATGTGTGCCTGTGTGCCGAAAGTCCCAGGAGGGAAATTGAAGAGAAAGATTGTGGGGTGCTCACTGCCCTCCAGGGGGAGGGTGATTTCTCATTTTCTCTTTCACTGTCTCTCTCATTCTCTGTCTCTCTCTGGAAAGCACACATGTCCTATGGCACAAATCTTAAAAAGAAAAAAAGTAATTATATCAATAAAAAACAATTTGAAAAACGGAAGAAGGTAGAAAGGAACCTTCGGTTTCTCTTCTTAAAGACCAAAGAAAACTACACTTAACTTGTGGGTATTTCCTTCAGTCTGTTATTCTTTGCGTAGTGTTTTTGCTGTATTTTGTGTACCCAAATCAAAATAAAATTTTATTGCAAAAATTAAAGCACTAAAGTAAAGTACAAAGGACAAATATAAATCACTTGAAATCCCATACCCCGGGAATATTAATATTTAAAAGATATCTCTCTCATGTGTGTCAAACAGTAGATGAGTTAGATAAATGACAAGGCTTTTGTTTTCAAAACTTAATAGCCAGGGACAGCAGATGGCATAATGGTTACATCTCTGAACTCCCACATAGTTAACAGCAGTTCGAGTCCCAGAACCAGTGGCTTAAACTCACGCCAGGAGTGTGTG